TTGTCAATAGAGGCTTGGGAAGAAAGCCTACCTTAGCTAAAGTTAGCCTATAAGGTTACATTCCTTAATGCAATAAAGAAATTCTTTACAGCAAAATGCTAATGAAAAACAAAGTACTAAATCTACTACAGTTATCAAAAGGAAAGAACTTTTCTCACACTGGTTATGTGTACTTAATACCCTTTAAAATCTTCTCTGGTAACTTAATTCCAATTGTTTTCAATGTCTCTCTGCTTCTCAAGATGAACACTGCCAATTTTATCATGTCCTGTGGTTCCCAGTCTTTGCTCTACAGCTTCTTTGATCCTGTACTTTTCACACGAACACACAGACTTGCAAATTCCATAGGTATGTACTGAATCCATGGCAAAGATCCAATGGTTCATACAATGTATTTGCCTCATACCTGCATGATCTTTTACACTAGTATGCCATAATCAAGTTTAAAATGTAAAATAGCTTGCCTCTACTTGATTTGTGTTTTTTAACTTTAAAATTCTATTACATATATAAAATAACATGAAATCCTAATTGTGCCAGGGATTACAGAAACGTAACAGAATGCATCTGTCCCAAACTTGAAATACTCGACAATTGAAAGAGGGGAAACAGCAACAAGAAAATTTATTGCAGCAAGTCCTTAAAAAAGCCCAAGTGTAAACTTCTCACCAGCTAGTGCACCATCTTCTGGACCACACAGTTCCTGAAATGTGAGACAAATGAAGAGGTAAAACATCACCAGCTCTGTTATTTTTATTAGACTGATTTGTACAGAAGAAAACTTAGTGAAGTGAACATGTGTAGGAAAGAGGTTTCTGAATAATAAAATTCATTACTTTCAATACTTAATGAAGATGCAAGATATTAAAAAAAACCCCATACCTTCTCTTAACATATGATAAATATGAGCTTTGAATACTGTTATTCTGATAGATCATTAGCACAGCCATATTTCTTTCAAAAGAAATCACTGTAATCTGATCAATGCCATTATAATTAAACTGGCAGAAAAAAAATCTTTGACCAGAAGAGAAGGACTTTACACGTTACTTGCATGTATAAACTTAATTGTGTGATCTTATTCTATTCCACTGTTACTTTAAGAATATTTTCTTTTTTACAGTAAATATTATTCCTTGGGTTTTATCAATATTTAATTGAGATGTGGTATTTCTTTCTCTGTTTCCTCTTTTGGGAAATGAAAATGTTATACGTAGTAGGTCATTCTACACAAATAACATTTTCATAGTAGACAGAAAAATGTCAGTACACAATTCTGTTCCAGAAGAGAGACATCTGAAGTCTCACCATGTGAAGTACTGTCTTTTTCCTCTGTAAAGGAATGGGTCAAAATGTAAATTATAAGGTCTAGTATTCAAACTATTCTCTACTTGTTCTTCTCTATAGATGGCACAATGAAAATTTTCTTCCCTTTCCCATGGTATAGAAAGTCAGGAAGGAAGACTTATACAGAAAGTTGGAAGCCTACAAAGTTTTAACTTGACCAATTTAATAGAAAGAGGGAAGGACCATAAGACATTAAGTGATTTTTGCAAACATCTCAACCTAAAGGGTTACCTGGCCTTTGGGTGTGTAGTGTAGGTTCATAGGGTCCTGTAATACACAACCACATGAAGGCTTTATCCTCTAAATTCTTCTACTTTGTAATAAAGTACCACAAATACCACACACATTGTTACTAGGAAACCCATGCCATTAATGAAATCCATGTAATTAATAAATGAATATCTGTAAATATATATACACAAACTATTAAAAATTACTGTTAGCAATCAATAATTAATATCAATCCATAATATGTTATCAATCAATATTGTAGTATAACCAGTAACAGGAATAACCAAACACTACTACAGGTTACTACAACTTACTATTTGTGGAACAAGCATACCAGCAGTTTAACAGCAGATACAAAAGGTTACCTATAAGAATATATATTATATCAATGAGAAGTGAATTGGACAGATTTCAAAAGGGGACGCACTATCCAAAGAGAGGGTCGAGGGATCCCAGAGGGATCTACTCACCCCAAAAAAGCAGAGGACGGACTGAACCAATAAGGAAATAATCTCCCTTCAAAACTGATCCATGTGGAATCAGGCAGGTGTTCCCAATGAAAGCCCAAAGACTGATAGAAAGTTCATGTGGGACTCAACCACAAAGTTCTCAGAGACCAAGAGGCTCCATTTTGAATAAAAAATAGGTCCTTTTTATAACACTGAAATAGTGTAGGATATTCTACTTTGAACAACCACTAATTTTCATCTTTTTGCCTGTAACAGCCATTATATGATGGTGTTTTTTGCTCTTTCAGAGCTAGGTGATTTTCTACCTTATCAGATTATATAAATTGCCATTAAAGTCCCTAGGGTTTGCGCTTATCCATGGTATATCTGGTTTCTACATACTCTGGCTGTACTTGAAAGTGACCAGCTGCACTTTTCAAAAATGTCAGTATTTTTCAGCCAATAGTTTCTTTTGTTCAGTATTTGTCACCTTTCTACTAGGTCACTTTTATGGCTGCTCACATCACCAAAGCAATTCAAATCTGAGTGCCAGAGCCAAAAAGGAAGTTCAGGAGTTGTTTTAAGTATCCAACAGTCTTTTTCACAGACCATCTTGCTTCCTACTTAGCTAATGAGCTACTGCTTCCCACCTTAAAAAACAAAAATACTATCTGCATTTGGCTGATATGACCTCCATCATTCTTTTGCAATTAAAAATTACACCAATGCCTGGCAGAATGACCAAAGCAGTAAGTCAAATGTTACTGAGTGAACAAATGGTATAAAATTATACTGACTCTACTGACTTGGGCATATATAAAAACCAGCAACACAACACAAATGGCCTTTAGACACTGTGCACCTAAAACTGCTACATTCCCTGTTCTTTGAATGCTTTGATCTTGTGCATCCTGCCTAGACGTAATAACCCTCAGGTTTTGCTGCAAGATACAGTTACTCCGTTGCTTTATTCCCTCCTAATATTGATTAAAACTGTCCATTTATAAGAGCTGAGTATGATTCACTGAATATAAAGGCTCAGAACTGTTCCTTTATTTCATAGCTGATACTCTTTGCAGATGGAAATCAAAGGAAACACAACAGAAAATGACAATTCATTTAACATATCAAAAACAAGATACTAATGTTAGGAATTCTCTTACTAATTTTCAAAATGTTACTGACTTCAAGAAGGACTACTTTCTTTCACTCGCTGCTTTTGCAACTGACATTTTGTGGTAGAGGTTTCTAGCTTTGTGATAAAAATTTTGGTTGTTTTTCCCACACAGTGAAAAAAAAAAAAAAAAAAAAAAAAATGGACAGAGCTATGGTTCAACAATTAAGCCAACAGAGTTCTATGTGAGTTGAGATGCATACTCAATTATTACTATATGTTACCTGAATTTGGTATCTGATTTGAATTCTAAGTAAACCCTGGTAAATCTACCATTATATGAATAGTCAAACTGGCATTGCTAAGTGGAATTTGTTTACATTCTTTATCTGGGCATCTCTTGGATGTATAAGATATTTACCCTATCAATTCTTCCCCCCCCTTCCACAGGTGGGGGAGTGAGCAAGTGACTGTGGGGCTTAGTAGCCAGCTGGGATTAAAACAGAACAATTGGTAATAAATTATATTAATGTTCCCAAGTTGAGTCTGTTTTTCTGTGATGGTAATTGTTGAGTGATCTTCCTGTCCTTATCTTGACCCTGAATCTTTTGCTCTATTTTCTTCCTCTCCTGTCCACTTGAGGAGGGGGAATAGCAGAGCTGCTTGGTAGGACCCTGGCATACAGCTGGCATCAGCTCAACACAAACATGAATGTCTAACTCCTGACTGCTGAAAGTATTCACAAATGAGGGGATTAAGTAGGGAAAGTGGAAGTCAGAATTAAATGGGATCTGTGACCTGACATCAGGATGGTCAGTCAGTTAAATTAAGAGCTAAACTAATCCTGTGCCTGCTAGAAAAAAAAAGATTGTAATGAACTTAACAAAGCTTTGAATCAAGACCTTTACACTTGAAAATTAAATCTAAGGTACTCTCTAAAATCCAGAGCTGCCAATGGATCTTTCTGAATATTCAGTGAACTTTACTGAATGAAGATATCTTTTTCTAGGGTGTGAAAGCATTCTTCTCATGAGGCCCCCACCTTGAGTGCTGCATCCAGCACTGGGGCCCCTAGCACACAAAATACATGGACTGGTTGGAGTGAGTCCAGAGGAGGTCACCAAGATCATCAGAGGGATGGAGCACCTCTGCTATGAGGAAAGGCTGAGAACTGAAGTTGTTCAGCCAGGAAAAGAGAAGGCTTTGAGGTGATCTACCTAAGGCCTTCCAGTACTTGAAAGGATCCTACAGCAAAAATGGAGAGAGACTATTTACAAAGGCATGTAGTGACAGGACAAGGGAGAATGGCTTCAAGCTGCATGACAGTAGGTTTAGCTTAGATTAGAAATTCTTTATTGTGACAGTGGGGACGTACTGGAATACGTTGTCCAGAGAAGCGGTGGATGCCCCATCCCTGGAGGTGTTCAAGGCTAGGTTGGATGGGGCATTGAGCAACAAGGTCTAGTGGAAAATGTCCTTGCCTGTGGCAGGAGGAGCTGGGACTAGATGATTTTTAAGATCCTTTCCAACTCAGCCCATTTAATAATTCTATGATTCCAATGATTTTCTCTGAAGTGCCTTGGATCCCTGGTGTAGGAGGCACTAAGATACATGGTCAGATGAATAGCATGCTCTTAACACATTAGGCTTCATGGGCAGGGGTAGGATATGCAGGGTCTGGCTGAAACAAGAGAGCAAGTGTGTTAATGAAGGCCTCTTTAAATAAATACTTAAATTTGGGTCCTAGTAGAAAATGCCTCCTTGTTTTTGTTCCAGAGTTGTAAGGAGCTGTAGCCTCTTATATAATACATAAACCAACATGTGAGGTACAGTTGCAGCAAACTAAAATATGCACTGACGAGCTGCTACTGGCACATGGCATCAGAGACAAGGAAAAAGTCACACCCTTTCACTCCAGATCCTTTACTGTGGGAAAACACAAAGCACAAATCACCTGTGAAAATTATACAAGTGCTGTAAACTTGCAACCAGACACACTGCCAACTCCATGCATTAAGAATTTCCATCTGGATTTCCAAGAACTCCTTAGGGATGTCACATGCCTCTGAATTTCTTCTCATTTCCCCGTTTTGGCAGACCAGACCCGCCTTCGATGACTGTTGAAGCTTCTTACACACAAGCAAGGGCCTGCCGTAGGCAGGAATGGCCGTGCCCTCGCCCCACAGAGGGGCTGCAGGCCAGCTCCCCAGCCCTGCGGCCTCCTTCCATGCTCGCGGTCCCCGGCAGCATGGAGCCATGCCTCCGGCTTCCCTCGCCCTCACCACCCCGGCAGGCACTCCGACAAGCGGGGCTGGAGCTCACATGCAAGTTACGCAGCTGATTCTCGGAGCTCTGCTCTGCTTTCTGCTGTGCAGCCGCTCGAGGTGAAGTGAAGTAGGAGGTAAGTTTAGTGTTCAAGCGGGAAGGACAGGGAACCCCAGGGATAGCTGCTCCCTTCCAGAATGTTTCCCTTCACCCTTACCACAATGAAGGGGCTGGTAGACGGCCCTATGAACAGCTTCGGAACATTTCTGTACAAACCCCAGCTCCTCATTTCAGTTTCCGCTGACAGTGTTGTAGCAGAGACTTGGGGAAACAGCTGCTTTGTCCCACTGCTGTGCGCTGTTGCCAGTTCGGGGCACAGCGGCGACAAGGCCGCGTGTGGAGACGCTGCACAACAAACACGCCGTGTGGACCGGGCTCTAAGTCAGCCCGCTAGCGCCGTTTTCCTGCTGCCCAGTAACGCTGGCAAGGTCGCTCCTCTCTGCGGCCGCTCCTTTAAGGGGAGGTCGCCGCAACCCGCACGGGTGTGTGAGGAGAGGGAGAGAAGGAGCCGGAGGATCGAGTCGGAGAGATATGTTGCGGTACTTTCAAACATTTGAAAACCCTTTGGGGACAAAGAGAAGCCAAGATGTGGGAGGATTTGTGGAGACCTAAAAAAAATGCTGTAAACTTAAGGCGGTATAGGAGAAGTTCAGGCAGAAGGTGAGAGACCCTTTGAGGGGCTGTCAGGGTGTTGCCTTAAGCTGACAAAATTGTGATGAGGTGAAAGCACTAACTCGGACAAAACGTGCAAAAAAAAACAGGCTCTACTTAGAAGCAGTGTGGTTAATAATTGTTCTGGTTGACTGTAGGGTAGCAAAGATGATCTTAGTGATTTCTCTCGGCCGCCTTTTGACCCTTTTGAGTAAAAGGGACTGCACAGTGGTGCGGGTGAGCCTAGAGGTGGTCTACTCCATGGAAGCTGAAGGGTTGTGTTTACATGCAAGTGTCTTGGAGTACCTTATGTTACAAATTTTGTGTGGCTAAAATCACACAAGAAACCTGATGTACTGATATGGGAAAGAGAGCAGCAGCTGTTTTCAGTCAAATAAGTTAATTGGCAAGTGCTCATCTGTCATTCTAAGGTATCTTTTGCCTATTTCTAGTGCTGCGTGTCTTCATGTGAAGCACACAACCTATGAAGACATTCTGTATGGTTTTTGAAACTGATTCAGATAATTTGTTCTCTAAATTCTGTATTTTCACAGGGTTTAAATAGGACTTCAAAACCTCAGTATCTGTTTGATCTGAGTGCTTAAAGTAAGCCATCAGCAGGGTTAGCCTTTGGAAGGAATGATACCTGCTTATTGCCCCCTTTAATTCAGTGTCTGGTGGGCTGCTCTGGGATTTTTTGTTTTCTTTATCTTTTTGCCAGGACAAGAGAGCTCTTTAGCTGCTGACTGACATTTTGCAAGCTGGTCGGTAGGTACATCTCAAGGCTCTGTATAAATATCTGGAGAGCATGTACAGGTAAGTTTGAACACAGAGTTGGCTGTGTGCTGGTGTCAGCCAGGAAAATGTGTTGATGGCTCCCTGGCCTGCTCCCCCAGGCTGACACATTTCTGCTGTGTAGGTAAAACAACATATGGGGTCCTTTTCTGCAGTCTTAGTAAAACATTATTTGGAAGTACTTACATGGACACAGTCTTTTTCCTGCTGCAAACTTCCAGCAATGCTTCTATTTAGATGGGAAAAAATGACATGTCAGTGATCCTCATTTCTACAGAAACTCCAAAAGAAACCTGGTTACTTACATACAGAATCTTTTTTTTTTTCATTTTAGCTGAAGATACTAATAACTGGAAAAAACCCCACATCCTTATTTCTTCCGCACGTGTGGAAGACTTATCACTTCTAGAAGGAATGATAATTACCCTCACAGCTATTATTCCTTAAGTACCCAGAAAGCCTGAGTTCAAAAGAAAACAAAAAAAATTCCATCGTGCTTTAGGAATTTTTTTACTTCCTTCTATTCTCTCTCTCCTCTCACAGTCCTTAAAAATTTAATCTTCTAGTGGGCTGTAATGGCATTGCTGTTGTTTTCCTGAACAGTTATGAGTTGAGGTAGGGGGAGTAAGCAAAGGGTGGAGCACAGTTTCAGTGGGAGTTTTGGAAAGGCTTTGAAGTGCCCTTTAGAATGCAGTGAACCGCTTGTAGAACTGGTGTTGGAAATTCTGGTGCTGAATAAAAAAGAATTATTTTCAAAGCATTTCAATGGATTTTTGTTTTTCAAACACAAGAGACTTTTCATTGGCTGTTGCATCTAGCTTTTAAAGTAAAGTATCAGGTAGTGTGAGATTTTCAATGTGATTAAAGCTGGCAAAATAGTGTTCTAGTTTACATAATTGCACAGGCTATCTATACCAGTAGAAATGGACTCTACATTTAAAAGAAATGCATCTCAGCTTTTGCTACAGTGGAACTTGCATGCAGAGATGGTCCCTTCAAAAATTAAAATATTTTTTTCTACAGTTTTACACTTTAATTTGGAATAACTTCTTAAAAGGCTAAGGGAAAAAAAAAAAAGTTGATATTGAGAACTAAGAGATTCCATACACAAATTAAGATACAGCTTAAACTACTTCCGTAGAAAGGCATTAAATTTTCTTTAAAAAATGAGAATGTAATGAAGAAAACCCCCCCTTTTCTCAAATATAGGTTTACTGTGCAATTAATTTTATTTTTAAAAGTAAGTGCCTTTGGTTTTAGTCCATATGAGTAGGTCTAAAGGAAGACTGCCAAATGCTGTATTTTTTGCCATGGGCTCTCCCACTCGAGGATATAGCATCATAGGCAGCGGAAGCTGACTGTCTGGGTGAGCCTGAAGGACATAGTTTAGAACATGAGGAAGTCTCCACCATAAAGGACTTGTCTTGTGGTTTCATTGATGCCCCTTTCCTGCCACCTGATCTGCTACAGTGGTGCATCATGTTGTTGTCTGACTGCAATATGTGTTTTTTACAGAAAAAAAAAATAAAATGTGAATTTTGCCTTCATTTGCAAAATAAAATTGTAAACACATGATACTTTTGACTAGGCATAAATTTACTTGTGGAAAATACAGCTATATTTATGAAACATACAGCTGTAACAAAGCATGTATTAATTAAAACACAGCATATTTAAAGGGCTTAATAGATATTCATTGTATAGTCATATTCCAAAATGATTACTGTCTTGTATGCCTCCCTCGAAAATAAGTGTTCTGATAGAGAGGTTCATTCCAGAGCGCTTCCAAATTATTTTTGCTGAGTAAAAGAAACATTTTTGTGAGGCACCTTAGAGATAGGTTTGGCACTAAGAGTCTCCTCCACAGTCATACCTGGAATTAAAAGGCCAAAAATATTTTTAAACATGGTATTAGACAGAGGGAAGGGGTTGCAGTCTGTAAAGAATGTCTGTATCTGACTTCTTACCAAAGTTATTGCAGTTTTTGGTAATACCTGTAAGGCTTGAAAGCTTTCACTGCTTAAAATGGGAGCTACCACGTGGCTGATTTGTTATATAGTAGCTGAGCAAGTGTGTGCATGGGCAGAGTCACAGACCAGCTGGAAGGAAAGGAGCTGCTAGGTTCTTAATCACTCTGTTGTACCAGTGAAGATTTCACTCTTCCTGCATGTGGTACACTTATTATAGTATCTTATTGGTGTAAAAATTGGATCTTGCAGTTTGACCTGTTCTGCATATTTCTGTTCCACAAATGAATAATCTTGTAGTTTGAGACTGAACCAAAACAGAAGTGCACTGCTTTTCCTTGAAGATGCATAATTAATTTCCTACATCATGTTCACCTTCTCTGTATGTCATTTATCTTTCTTTTATGTGCCTCTCTTTCATTGGAATAGGTTTAAAATACCTCACCTGCTCCTCTTTTGCTCGCATATATAAAATAAAGGCAGTGTATCTTTTAATTCAGGATTTATGTACACATAGATTTCCAGTGACATTCAGCAGTCAGCAAAGGTCTCTTAATATCCAAACTCTGCAATCCTACATTTTACAACATTTGAACAAAGCTCTACAAGGGAAAAGGAGCACAGTAGAGACATTCAATGAGAAAACTGGTGGCTAAAGAGTAAATTTCACCTGTAGAGAAATTACTTTATAATAGACATGACCTAAAATGAAAAACATAGATCATTGCCATAGCTGTTCTTATAAAATTTGCCCCTAGAAAGAGTCTTTCCAAGAAGTAAGTTCCAAACTGTTAAGCACAGTCCTGCAAGTGATTAACACTGTGTCGGGAAAGAATCCTCCATGTAACACAGAATCACAGAACGGATGAGATTGAAGGGGACCTGTTGATATTATCTGGTCCAACCCCTTGTTCATGCAGGGACATCTAGTGCCCAGTGCCATATCCAGGTGGCTTTTAAATGTCTTCCAGGGCGGGAAGCTCCACAGCCTCTCTGGGCAACCTATGACAGTGCTAGATCCTCACAGTAACAAAGTGTTTCTTGATGCTCAGACAGAGACTCCTGCATTTTCAGTTTGAGGTCATTGCTTCTGATCCTGGCAGCACTGGAAAGTGTCTGGCTCTATCCTCTTTGCACCCTCCCTTCTGGTATTTACGTACACTAATGACATCCCCCTGAACCGTTTTTTCTCAAGCCTGACCACACTCGGCTTTCTCAGCCTTTCCTCATAGGAGAGATATTTCCATCCCTTCATCATTGTGGCCCTTTGCTGAGCTGTCTCCAGTATGTCCATGTTGTCCTTGCACTGAGGAGTCCAGAACAGGACTCAGCACTTCAGGGGTGGCCTCAGTAGTGTTCAGTAAAAGGGAAGGATTACAGGCTTTCGCCTTCTGCTTGGGATACTGTTTGCCTTCTTTGCCTCAACTGCATATTACTGCCTCATGTTCTGCTTGGTGTTCATCAGGACTCATCCCCTGATCCTTGGGGTTTTTATAAGTGAGAGATGGCTTTAAAAAATATTAAGTTAGGACCTTAAGATGAATAGTACTTTAATGTAAACATACAGGCAAACCAGTCAGTCTGGTTTACTGTATCTCTGTTTTGAAAGTACACATGTATTTTTCTCCCCTCCTTAGAGATGATACAATAGCTGCAGGCATGCAAACAGCAGTGCATGCTTTTTGGTGGAACTATTTTTGGGGATTAACTCTGAATCTTTTACCTATTCCATAGTATTATGAAGTGTGGAGAGGAATAGAAATATCAAAGCATGAAGCCTCTCTATTACTCAGCACTGACATAGACTTTTCTCACAGTGCATCTGTGTAATAAT